GCTCAAGGGAGCACACGGATTATTTGGGTTATCTTACTAACACTAAAATGGACAATCTCCTATAATGGTTAAGGATGGAGGGCGGAGGGAATATTAAATGAATCCCTATAAGTACTCTCTAATTAAGCAATTATACCCCCCTAAGGTCGTTATTTACGGAAAAGGCTTCTGTATAGATAAGTATCAAATGGATGATTAACTTATAATAGGCTCTGATAACCTAAAGAAGCACCAAGGCACACAACTATGAGTATATTTTATTTCAGCGTCGTAACGTAATTATGAATATACTTATCTACATTTACTTATAATGAATGTCTCAAAACTTGTCTACATCAATAATGTTATAATAAAATTTTATCAAACCTAAAGAGGAAACTGATTCCCCCATTGAAATGTGTCTTACAGGAGTATGAGCTTCATTATCTGAGCACAGAAGTGGGACGCCTGATATGCATACCCTACGGAGTTGATCCTGAGGTTCTTGTTAAAATAGATATTCCAATTAGCGATACCACACTAGGAAAGATTATCCACGGAAGTGAGAAATTCACATAAGAGTTCAAACCTATATTTCACTGTGACAGGTATACTGGAACAGGTGGGTTATTCATAATGTGTTACCATGATATTCAACGTACACGCTGTATAAGTATGCATCTAATTTAGGGAGGGCTCCGTATAACTATAAATGAGGACTATTCTAAACGTCCATGTTCACAATTTGTAAGTATAATATCTAAAAATGCCGCCCTATATTTTTGCATACATTAGTGTTATGAGTGTTACCCTTATAATAGGGTCCTATTTTCTTTTTTCTATCACCCATTACGAAACATGAATAATCTATTCTGCATATATTTGAGTGTTAATCCAGGAATTATGTCCTAAGAATGAAAACATAAGGAATCTGTAGAACTTCCTTTTGAGAGGAATATATCCTAGGAAATTCAAAGGATTCAACATGATTTGGGTATTATATTTCATCTGAAGCTATAGACAGTATATTCAAATATGCCTTATGTGAATTCAGAAGAAGAACATAGAGGAGAATCAGAACCACATGCCATTAAAGTTGTTGGATTATAATATAGAAGTGTTCTATCCAAGATACAGGAAGCATGGTTGCAGAAGAATAATGACACATACTTAGTTTAATTATATGGAGTTATAGAGTCAATTACAGCTCCCTTGATGTATTGTAGTTAAAATGAATTCGAATATCATGTCCTTCTTTGCAAAGTGGGACACGGAAGATGTGTAATTTGGAAGGGTATCGACCTGCTCACATAACTGTGTTAGAATAAGATGTTTTCAAAAGTCGTGTTAAGCCTGCGTTGGCCCCCAAATGAAAAAAATATAAGGAGATAAGATAAAATAGGATGGAGTGAATCGCTCTCTGCGATGACTCTTACATGTAGATATTACTAGAAGCTAATAGATCGCATAGGGAGCTTACTGGGCAAGCAGTATTTATAAGACGAAATAATAATTTCTCATTATATAGTAATTATGTACAATAACAACATATAAATGAAGGCGAAGTCGACTCCATAATTATATTGCGAATATATGGGCTGCCTCGGAATCGTATTTAAAAACATCAACGCGATGAGAGGTACATGTATCTTAAGTATTCATTAAGAGAATTTATTTAATCGTTACCTGTCCTTCTCTGTTTTCCTAAATTATAATAGGTTGAAAGTATGTATATACGAAGAGGAAGTGTAACAGTTTGCAGAAATTTCAGTGAATATGAAAGAAGGCGAGTCTTATGGGGAGAATTGTAGGAATTGTATGAATAGCCATAAGTATATGGAGAAGTAAAATAAGAGGACACCACACAGCAGTGTGGCCTTAGTGTATTCCCTGTAATATATCTAGGGATGTCTACATAAAAACACTGTGTGACGAATGAAGTAACCTGAGGTCTGTTCATGGAAAATAACAATTTCTCTTCAGGTGTGTTGCACTGTATATGCGGACAGGGCATATGTGATTGAAATAACTTTTGGAAATTTTCTCATTATTCCTTATGATAGATTCCAGTCTAAACTTTTATTAGGGATGCGGAGTGATTAAGTAACTTCTTTATATAGGTTTCCCTGAAATTGTAATATGCCCCCTTGGAAATCCTTCATGAAGCCTGTGGTGCCTGAACCCATGGTGAGATTTACAGTGTCGGCCGATTCCTCATAATGATTCCTGTCTGAATCAACGTTCGATTCGGAATTTCTATAATCCCATACACCGTGGAATGAACAGTTAGCACCTTTCCATTGATTATGTCTAGTAAAAGTCTATATTTTGAAGAATTCGGCGGAAACATGGAATCGTTTACATTTCATGTATGCAATCCATGGTAATATTTAGATGAAGCTACGTAAGCATCAAAATGATTATTGTCTGATACCGAATCCATCAATTTTCCGAGAAGTTTATCAGGCGTTTATTC